CCCCCCCTCCCCTCTCCCATATCCAGGGGGCTCTAAAGTTAAAGGAGATGGCCTACATCCACGCCGAGGGTTACAGCGGCGGAGCTCTCAAACACGGGCCGTTCGCCCTGATTGAGGGAGCGGAGGGAGACAACGGGGCAACGCCCATCATCCTCATCATCCTGGACGACGACCACGCCCACCAGGTCTGTACAACCGCGTTTTCTTTCCTTGCGGACTGACACACGCTCAAGATAGACTTTGCATATGCGCCGCGATTATCCAATGGCCGCCGGGGAAAGAGGAGACTCTCGGGGGCGCATGCTAAATATTGACGATACCGGTCCGTTCAGAAATGCTACCTCGTTTCTTTCCGTGCGAGCATACGTCCAAGGTAGATTTTCTTGGGGGCGTATTGAAAGTATAGACCCATGCCGGTTCGTTTCGAAGTAGTACGGCTGCTGCTGCTGCTGCTGCTGTTGGCGTATTCAAAGCATAGACCATTCCGGTTCGTTTCTAAGTAGTACGGCAGCTGCTGCTGCTGCTGCTGGCGTATTAAAACAATAGACTATGCCGGTTCGTTTCGAAGTAGTACGGCAGCTGCTGCTGCTGCTGCTGCTGCTGCTGAAATGGACGAAAGCTCTTTCCCTCAAGAACGCGGGCGCGGGCGTCATTTTCGTTCTGAATCGTGGTGTGGGGGCGGTCGGTAAATATACGCAGTCGGGAGGGTTCGATATCGTTCCCCCTGTGCGCGAACAAGGCACGAGATTCTGGCAAGTCGGATCCTTCACCAAGCAAGCTCTCTACAAGGCCCCCGTGCCCTGCTTAGTCCAGCTGGAAACAAACCACCGTAACCGATGGGTTCCGTGCGTGCATATTTGGGTTTGGGAAACATGAGTCAACCATAAAACGATTTGGGTGCGACAGATGCGAACGTGCGGCGAAGAAGTCAAGGCTAGGGGCGCGCAGCTGACCGTCATCACGGACAACCCAAGGCTCGCGGATGGTCTGGACCCCAACCCGATTGTCATCCCGAACAATGTGAGAACAGGGGAGGGGAGGCTACAGCGCTCAATCACGCATTCTCGCGGGTACAATACTGTAGTGCTGTACAATGCTGCTGGGCAGTGTTCTTGTTTATTGTGCTCAGATTTTTGGCGCACAGGGGTGTGTGTGCCAAGACGCCGATAGTCCGACACCTGTATGTGCGGAAAACGAAATTACTTTGGTCCTGAAACTGTTACGCGCACCCACGTGCGATGACTGGATGAAAACAAGGCGGCGAAGTGGGGTGTTTTTGAACGCACTCCCCCGTGCCAAGACTCCGATGTTTGCGTGCTACCGATCCTGAACAAATCGCAGCGGGCACAGCAGCACTTTCTTCGTGTGTACGGTATTGCAGTAGGGTACACCATGACCATGATAGTCACCATTGACCACGTGTCCTCGAGAGGACGACGCCTTGTTCCCATAGGGGGGGAAGTCTTGTATGTTACGAAAACTCCGCGCTGTAGTAGAAGCATTCGATTTTACGGTCGGGATTGTTCCTGTGATGATCAACGCTACGGATGGCGTCTTGAGTACATAACCCCCGTCAACCAAATCTTCGCCGTCGTCCCCCCGCCCGAGCTCGATTTCACCCTCCACCCCCCCAAACCAAATCTCCGCCGTCGTCGCCCTCCCCGCCCGAACTCGCTTTCAGGGCGCGTTGACGGCTCTCATAGCGGTGCTGCCGCTGCAGTTCATCGCGTACGAGCTGTCGCTGGCCAAGGGCATCAACCCGGACACGCCTCGCAACCTCGCCAAGGCCGTAACGACTGATTAATTGCTCGGTTGATAAAAGCAAGCTAGCTCGTGTGCCCGTGCCCGCGACTTTGAAGTAACTTTGTTTCGCTCGTGCCCCCGGCTTGTAGTAACTTGCGAACGCTGGGTGCTGTGATACACGAACCCCACAGCGCGCTTGCTCTGTCGAGGAGGGGATTTTAAAAGTGGTAACTTGTATGCTGGGTGCTGTGAATACACACACCCTAAAGCATGCTTGTTCTCTGGAGGAGGCAATTTTTTTGAAGTTGGAATCAGAGTCGAGGGGCGTGAGGTCTAGTAGACGGGTAGGAGGCGATTAGAGGTGTCAAATCCCTTGGGGATGATTACTCCTGAACGAATCGACCCCATTTCGGGTGATGGGGGGAGGGTGCGGCGAAACATGCAACAAACAACCTTTGTTTTTCTTGTTTGTGGAGCCATTACAGGCGTGTATTACTTGGCGGAGGGAGGTGCTAATACCGTATATGACAAAAGATAACACACCCCCTTGACCAATTTTCGAAGCTCGATTTCTCAACTGCAGGAACAGCCACAACGCCGAAAACGGCGGCGTTGAAACCGTCTTGTCGAGAGCTTTTCGAAAGTGTATCGTTTTGTTTATGCATCCTCTTCGTCGTGAAGTAATCGAGCTTTGAAAATCGGCCCAGGGGGTGTGTTATCTTGTGTCATATACGGTATACAGTCTTGCGTCGAACCTCACGTGAAGTTGTGTAAGACCTTGGTTTTTGGTGTGTCGAGTGCCGCTGTCCCGGCACGCACGACTTGGTGGAGTGGAGCCAATGGCGCTTTCCCGTTGCGTGCGCTTGTTGCTGTTGCTGTTGCTGTTGTTGGTGTTGCGTGTTGGAGGTGCAAGGCAGCCTTGACGGCGGACCGTCAAAGTCTACATGCGAGCCCGTGGAGGGCTGAAAGTTGTTCGTCTGTACACTATTTCGGTGAGAATCTGTGCCGTAGAAATTGCCACCGCATGATAAATAGTGATTGTGGTACTGGTAGAGAGTATGGTGTGCATGTCGTGGAGGGGTGGCGGGGCCGAGGGCGAAAAGGAGGGCGTCTCGTGAAGCCAGGGCGACTTGCTGACACGTGCATTTACATGAAACCAGGTGTAGTCGCACTACGTTCGGCAGTGCACCGACTTTGCGTCGTCGCACGCCTTGTTGGGGGTAGGGTTAACAGTCATCCCGCGCGCGCCGCGGAAATAAAAGTTGGTCGCTCAGGTCCATCTTGTGTGTCATATACTCATCATATGCATACATCCACAAGAAGGAATTGCCCATGCTGTGCCGCCGTGTTTTTCTTCGAGTCATTTTATACCCTGTGATGACGGGATTTATCCTCGTACGGCTGGGAGATGGACAGCACTTGAACGAGGTCTCCTTGTTTTTAGTGAATTCCACACGAGAGAGGGGTAGCGCGGTCTAACAACGGGTGGATGGCAATCGCGCGCCCGGGGGCGTAGAAGTAGCTCCGCCGCGGCATGACCACAGCCAAGTCTGGCCAGCGGTCGGTCGAAAAAAATGTGAACACCAACAACGCTCGAGTGTTTCGTGTTGGTGTATGTGACCTTCCTTCTGTGTGACGCCGATTGATCTGATCTGCCCAAAACATCATCGCAACAGTTGCAAAGCCGGCGTCCGGAAGAACATCAGTAGACGGGGGCACATCACGACAGATTACACGAACGTTGTCGCGGGGGTAAAACTGAACACGGGCAAGGAGAGACGTGTCTCACTAGGATATGAACACGGCTGTCGTCCTGGGGGACTTCACCAGAACGTACCAATTTATTATTTCAATTTGTGGATGATTCCATGAATGCCTCCTGCCGAGCCAACAAACTCTTGCTGACAAACACCCCTGCGTGGGGTTGCCAATCTATATGGTGCACATCCAACGGATCCTCTTCTAGGGGTTCGAGAACATTGAGACGTACTGCTACTAAAGTCACCGCAATACGAACTCGTGCATTGTGCTGAAAACTAGAGGCGGTATGCATTCTACCAGTTAGAGAACGGCATCCAGCAATCGACTGCGAACGGTTCCAATTCAAGCCTCCCTCACCCATGCTGTGCTCAATAAACTCAAACCGACATCGAAATCCTGGGAGGCTACACGGCAGCGGGCAACTTTCCAAGCGCGAGTGCGATCCCCCCCCTTCCCCCCCCCCCCNCCCCCCCCCCCCCATCCCCTGTTTCCCTCGGTCTCGTCCCCGAGAGAAGAGTGTTACCCGGTTAGATTCCAGGGCATCCTCACCCACGATTATTAATCGCGGTGACCATTTATTTCCCTAACACTCTCCCCTCCGCAGCGGTCACGACTATTATTTGCCGTGGCCACCGTCGCCACACGCTTCCTCAGTAGTTCCAACACGGGAAATGATTGTTGGCAAGCAGCGTCAGCAGCAGCTGATGACCGAAAGTGCATCATCGGTTGATGGGTTTTTTTTTTCATCACAGCTCCAGGAACACGCTCCGGAGCTCGCAATTCTCGAACCACTTGGCCGTCTCCGGCGCCGCCTGCATCGCCTCGTTGAAGAGGCACAGCAAGAACGCGCTGTGGGTTACCTAGAGGAGACATGGCGGGGAGGAAAGCGGGAGGGGGGGGTGTACTCATAGTCGTGCATGCCGTCGTCGTTAGACCATTGACCTCGCATCCCTACAAAGCCGGGACGGAGCACGCCGGGTTCTCACCGGACCAGGCTCTCACATCACCAAGCGCGAAGCGCCGTGAGATATTCGGCGAGTCGCATGAAGGGTGCGCTGCATCCTGCTAAGGGTTTTCGGCATCTTGTGCTTACTTCCTTGCGTACGGATGACAGCTGCGTATGACTTAACTTTACTTCTCGTGCTTTTACTTCGAGAGACAGTTGTAAGCACCGTGTAACTGCCTCGAGGGTGCTNCCGCACAACATGATCCACTTGACCACCATTATGGTTATCGCCAAAAAAAAAAACAGAGGTAAAAAAAAAGCGGTAACCTGGTTGCGGGAGGGGGGGGTGGCTCATGTAAGCGCATGCCGTAGTCGTTAGGCTTATCCCTACCATGTCGGGACTGAGCGATATGGCGGGGTTTTGCCGGCCCAGGCTGCGTTTCACCAGAAGCTGGGGGAAATGGGGGGCGTGATCACCGGCGACCGAGCAGGCGACGGCGGAAGGAAGCACAACGGACTGATTGCTGCGCGCGCAGTTCTCACACCATGGGTGGCGCAGCTTGTGGTAACGCACGGCGAGCTCAGGTGGTGCGATTGAGCGCACCCAGCACGGTGGAACAACAGGACAGGAAGCCGCAACACCATGCGAACCGTGATAAAAAGTGGAAGCCCGATTATCATATATAACCGCAAGATCACGTGTCTGTGCAAGGGGGGGGGGGGGNGGGGGGGGGGGGGGGGGGGGGGGGGGGGGGGGGGGGGGGGGGGGTCATGCAAATTGAGGGCATGAAAATGTACAGCAATGGCCAACATTTAGGTCGCGTGTTTAACCTACACCGGGCACCCTGAGCTTCTTCAGTACCTGAGACAACAATCATTCGTCTGTATTCAAAAGGTGCTCCAAACAGTACCGCCGATGGTGTGACGGTCGATCGGTGGCGATGCTTTGGTCGCGTTACTCTTTGTAATATTCCTTACTCTATAGACAAATTCACCAAGCACATCCCGCCCGCTCAGTCAATGGTGCCATGGATCGTGACCACGCATCTCAGCACGGCGAGAGGTGGGGGCTTTTACTTCCTTCCATCGTTCGTAGCAGGACTAAACCATAAAGCGATGCAGCACAGGAGACAGTTTCAAGCCATCACCTCGCGCGATGACAAGAACAGTGACACCGACATCCCCGTTGTGCCCACATTCGCCCGACTCAAACCAGGAGATGGGCGACAATTGAAAGACCCACGTCTCGAAAAACCAAGCGGCACCGGCGTGAGGCCAACATCACCAGGTCCAAGCGGGGTGCAGAAACTCTACACGAAGCCACGACAGCACCCCCCTCTCCCCCCCCCATACCCGAATCCCCTCGGCGCCCGCCCCCCCATGCACGCACGAACCCTACGCAACTCTCGCCAGAAGAACAACGGATAAGAACTGACGAGAACAAACAAACATCCCTCCCGCACACACCCATTCACGCACCACGACAATGTTGGTCTCGGGCCTTTCCTTAAGCCAGGAGAGGAGCTCTCTCCCGCGATCGGCCATGAGGTCGTTCGGCTCTCTCTCTTCGCCCAGGGAATCGAAGTAGACGTCCTTCTCGTCCTTGATTTCGTCGAAGGAAATGTCCGGGTACTCCTGCTTCAGCTCGCTCACGCATCTGCCGAGAACGGCGTTCATTTTGGCGGCGAGCGTATGGTTGCACCGCGGATTGGAGGAGACGGGGGGGGGGGGTACTCATAGTCGTGCATGCCGTAGTCGTTAGACCGTTGACCTCGCATCCCTACAAAGCCGGGACGGAGCACGCCGGGTTCTCACCGGACCAGGCTCTCACATCACCAAGCGCGAAGCGCCGTGAGATATTCGGCGAGTCGCATGAAGGGTGCGCTGCATCCTGCTAAGGGTTTTCGGCAGCTTGTGCTTAGTTCCTTGGGTACAGATGACAGCTGCGTATGACCGTATGACCTTTCTCGTGCTTTTACTTCGAGAGACAGTTGTAAGCACCGTGTAACTGCCTCGAGGGTGCTTGGCCATTTCAACACAACGTGGTGCGATCATCCCCCTTGCGCGGAGTGAGGGTTCTCCACCCCGCACAACATGATCTACTCGACCACCATTATGGTTACCGCCAAAAAAAAAAACGGAGGAAAAAAAAAACAATAACCTGGTTGCCGAGTTCACGAAGTGAATTGGCTTGTTTTACAACGTCGTTGCCAAGCGACGAAAACCCAACCCCGATGGCAAACACCGGGGGGGGCGGCTTGTTTTACAACGTCGTTGCCAAGCGACGAAAACCCAACCCCGATGGTAAACAGGGGAGGGAAAAGAGGAGACGGGGGGGCTAATAATGCAATCATCTTGCCCTGCGGCACAGACTTCTGATCGACCCCTTGTCATAGAGCAGCTGTTCCCTTAGCGTAAGGGAGGGCTACACAACGGGTTTGATAAAAAGGAGGGGTAGCGTAGACACCCCACCCTTTGGCACAGATTTCTGATACGACCGTTTCACCTTTCATAAAACAACTCTTCACTTTGGAATCCACCCCGCACTCAACACAACGAAAACATTGTTTCATTACGCTACAGTTGAGGTCCCTGTTTAGTGCCGGGGTGTGCACTAAACCGGACACCGGCACTATTCGAAGGACAGAACGACTTAGTATTCCAGTGTGTGCGAGCCGAACACACCGGCACTATAACGGAAACCGGCACTAAACAGGGACCTCTACTGTATATACACGGGCGGCCCGCCTATATGTGTGCATGTTTTAGGAAGAGGGAGCAGTGCGGAATTTCCAATTGTACCGAACAACGACTAAGGTATGGCAGGCGCACCGTCCCACCCGCCGCCGAAACGCGTTATTACTCTAGTTTCGGGCGCAACCCGCCTGTCGCCAAGTCCTGTATTGAGCGAAACCCGCCATGTTTTGGGATGTGAACTCTTCCCCCCCTCTCCCTTCCGCCCGACTGGGAGCGATCGGGACACAAGGAAACACCGCAGTAGTAAAAGGCCTTGAAGGTTGTCAACGCAAAGCTGAAGTTGATGATTGATTGCTGGCGAAGAACCCATCCCCACAGGGGTCAGGTGCGCCACTGGTCCGTCCCTGTCTTCGGCCCTCGGATTTCCCGGCAAAAAAAAAAACACGTGTCGCATAAAAAGAAAAGCACGCTTGAATCACTTGCTAACCCCAAGCAGCGCCCCCTTCATAACTACCGCATTCTCTGTTTTGACCCCATTCGCAACAGAGGCATACAGCGTGCGCACACACACACACGAATGGACGCGAGGAATTAACGAAAGTGAGGCAAACTTCCCTACCCCCCCGAAAAAGTTAATTGCGTAACGCGAAGACCAAGAGAACACAACTAACGTGTTCTCTACTCGGAGTGGACCTTTTCATGATGGAAGTCTTGGGTATTGGTGAGGCCTCCTGTGGCGGCCGGTGGTCCCGCTCAACGCATGGGTGTGTGTCGATTTCTTTGGGTAACCGTCGGTCCAGGTCCGCATTGAATCGAGACTCACCCAAAGTTTTGTTCGTCGGCATGCACGCCGATCGAGTAGCCACAGAGTAACAACGTGTCCGAGACTTCCTTTTCCAGAATTGCACGAAGTGACTCGTGTGGGCCCCCTCGCCCCCCTTTCTTCCCCTCCCCCCTAGCTTGACACCCTCGCCAATAGCATAGGTGAAGGACTTCGAGGATACAGTGGCAAAGTTTGGATTCCACGCACTATGTAGGCGCATGTTTACCTTCGGCGGTCACAAGGGTGCGCCCCCGCTCGCTCCCTCACGCACTCCAGCGCCACCCATGGCACTCCCTCTACCTGAAAAACGACAGTTGCGGTGAATCCAATTGGCGATACAACCAGGGCAGGAGCGGGGAGCGCGTGGAGACAACGTGTTGTTCTTGTGATTGCGTGTTCAGTCGGATCTGTAGAAGACGAGATTAAATAACAACTTGTGGTATATACGAACACATGGCACCCCTTACTCACACAATCTCCTTTTATGTTATTTTGATCGGTCTCCTCGACCCTCTTTCTCGTTTGGTGCGGTAGCTGGTCTTTCTTTCTATCATTTTGTTTCTCTTCCGAGTGGTTTTTGTACCCTATTTTTTTCTGTTTCTTCGTGGGGTCGTGTATGCCGGGTTTTGAGACCACGGGCTCCCAAACTTTTTTTTTTTTTAGAGCTAATGTGAGAAACAACAACAACAACTTGCGGTACTTGATCTAGGTCAGGCGGGGACAAGCACGGTTTCTGGTCAAGATTGATGGTGAGAATGTTGTAGACAGATTGAATAAGACAGGAACTACAGAGGTGAGAATAAAGGTGACATGTTGGAGGAGCCCGACAGACAACTCTGGTATTTTTCTGGCCTAGGGTTGGGTACGACCGACAGAGCGCCAAGAAGGACGACCCCCGACACTTATCTCAGATATCTACAGCACCAATGTTTGTACGAACGACTTGGCACCACGGCCGATGCCGGTACAACTGGGAAAAATAATCCCACCCTCCACGGTCCTCTCGCACCACGTTGTGTTGCCCCCCCCCCCC